AATGGCCGTTATATAGGGATGTTATAGAGAGGTCTGACTGTATTTACAAAACGATACAATATAATACAATATAATATATTATAAGACGATGAGTAATGAAATATGCACATCATACAACTAACAATAGTTGTGCGAGGAATTCTCTTTGCACTCGGTCTCATCCAAATTCGGTGGTACATACCATTAAATTTCCAAGATTCAGTTTTCCTTCCGATGGATTTCCCATTTAATGTTAGATCGCTAGTTAAAATATGGGATTAACTATGGATTTAACTAGGCTAATTTGTACATCCAGAAATGCCATAGCTGGAGAATCCTGGAACTTGCTATGCCAACTAAATACCTACAAAGTGGTAGGAAAGGGAGACAAATGAACAATACCTTATCCAGCACATTTCTTTTCTTTTTTTGCAGAAAAAGGAACAAAAATGTGTGTATAAGCAATGGCACAGACAAGATCTAATATTACATATGGCTGATTTATGAACTATAGACTATTAGACTGCAAGCATTAGGGAAATGGATCAGAAGCTATAGTCAGATGAAGAAGTTCCCAGCACAATATAGAGAATGCAAATCAAGGAGATAAAAATTATCCCAGCTCCAAAACGATCTCTTGAATGTAAGGCAGCCAAGGACGTGCATAACTAGAAAGAAAAAGAAATATTAAGACTCAAGACACATATCACTCTTCAATGCACTGGTGACAAAATAGGCCGAAGTCTCCAATTGGAGTTCAAAAGCAGAACTATCTGCCAAGTAGAAAGAAAAGATACCAAGAACCAGGAGCTCATTGGCAAATGAAGTCTTGCTGTATTGGTTTTGCACTGATTTGGATCTTGAAAACAGACACCAGGACTACAAGAAAAGAACAAGAACCGTCCCCGCGAAATAGAAACACCAATGCAGAACAAATTAGTGGACCCATATTGCTGAACCCTCCAAGAGTATCTAAACATGTCACCATCTAACAGGAAAACTAACTCTTCCACCAACGATCTTTCCATGCAGAAGCATTCTCGCTCTTCAGAATGCTTTCTCTATTATAAATTTAAATGCGCACCAAAACTAGCAAGAGAGCCAATCATGTACCCAGAAAAGGACAAAGGAACAAAATAGCCTGCCAAAAGGTTAACAACATTAATATCATAACAGTTGAGAACTTAGAATGGACTGATAGAGGGTAAATGGAATAAATTACCCGGTTAACTCCCATTAACTGTTAAAGAGATTTTACAAGAACACAACAAAGGCCACTCCTAATCCAGCTCTACAATCCAATTAGACAAGAACACCTGCTGGCCCAGAATTTTTATCACCAGTACTAAATTCAGACAATTCATCAGACCCATCAATCACAAGGCAAAGTTTCAGAGATGTGATTGCCATGCAAGAAAGCATTATAAATCCAGCACCAAACAATGGTTTCCAAATTTCCAAACCAAGTAAGCAAATAACCAGCAACCATAGTGGCATTCAAAAGTGTAAGGCCATATTCAAATTTGCAAATTAAGCAAGCATAAAATCCCAATCAAACTGTATTATCGAACATTTACGGACATAGAACAGTAGTTTATAAGAGCCAGGTTTCATGAGCTCAAACGATTCATCCATTTTGTTGGCTCAGGCCAGGGAAACAGCACCAAGTAGACATACATCAAATCACTTGCATCCAGCTTGTAGGACTTATAACTCTTCAGCTGCATCAGAAAGAATCAAAATTTAATCAGCTCAAAAGTAAATGACACCCTGAATATTGGATAACTGAAAATCAAATAGCCTAAAACTTACCACAACTTAAAGCATCAGCCAGCTCGAGAGCCTCCAGAACTGCGACGTTCGTATGGCCCGGAACGATCACGGCTAAACCGGTCACCTCCTCCACGACCACCACCATCTCTGCTGCTGCGGCTTCCATATCGATCTCCGTTCCTATCGGGTCCATAGCCACTGCTTCTACTACCACCACCTCCGCCACCGCCACCGTACCGACCACCTCTACCCCCTTCACTAGGGCATTCTCTGGCAAAGTGTCCTGGCTTACCACAGTTAAAGCAGTCTCCGCCACCACCAGATCCCCGCCCACCTCCATAATCACGGCTACCACGATCGCGATCGCGACCCCGATCTCGGTCACGGTCACGAGGTCGATCACTATCAAAATCTCTACCTGAACCTTTGTCTGGCTGGGCTTTGTCTACAGTAATATCACGACCATCTAAGTCCACTCCATTCATTGCTTCAATTGCATCTTCCATTGCTCTCTTTTCATCAAATGTAACAAAACCAAATCCACGAGATCGGCCAGAGAACTTGTCAAGTACAACCTGAGCCAAAAAGGATAGAGGCATCGAAATATTGAAATTTAACATCCACAAAAAGAAAAAATAGAGTGGGAAATGACATAAGAAAAAGAGAGGAAACGGAGGTAGACAGTTGCAACTCTAACTCTTGTCACACAACACAAAGAAACCTTCTAATGAGGTTCTGTGGTGACGCTTGACAAGAAGAATTCACAATCCTGTCTAATCTTGCACACACCTTGATAAAGTTTGGTGGTAATACTTGTTTGATGTAGTACCTTAAGCTACATTTTCATGAATTAATGGACTAGTCTTCCTTAAGAGGTTTAGGGTTTTCTTTATGGCTAGAAAGAAAGCTCAATGGAAGTTCCAGGTTTACAGAACTTTTGTTGGGCTAGCAAGCGGATTAGAACCTTTTCCAGAATCCCCTGACGATGTATGTGTGCATCCAGGGGAAAAAGATACTGATTTACCTTTATATTCCTCATTAGAGGTTGGGAGTGAGGTCAGGATTGAGAATTAAAATGATATTAATGAAAGTACAGATGTTGTAGCATTCAAAGAGCAAGAGTAAGAAAATTACTCAACAGATTTGAATTGTTCACGTAACGAGGTTAAAAATAGGTGCATTGAGAGGCAAGTGGAAGGGAGATTGCACTAAAGTGGTCAAAACCCTCACCGTCACTTGAAAGGGAAGGAGGTTTGCAGGTATGAATGGTCTAATCCTAGTCTAAAGGATGGGGCAAACTCCTTCGCATAAATGATCTGCCCAGCAACAATACACGAAAAACAACAAAGAAGAAAAAAGAGAAGCAAAAAAAAAGATCATTGAAAGATTAACCAATTCAAAAACCTAAAAAATAAACCATCCTTACCTTTGCATCAACAAGATTTCCAAACTTCTCAAATGCATCTTTTAATCCTCGATCAGAAGTTGACCATGACAAGTTACCAATAAAACAGCGATATTCATCATCCGCCATTTCTGAAACAGACAGCTGCTATTGAAAAAGAAGACAGAACGAAAGAGATGGGGGGATAGAGAGAGAGAGAGAGAGAGCAAAATCAAGCGAAGAGTCACAAAAAGTGCACCGAAAGATTAATTCAGTTAGGATAATAAGGCCTGCTTATGTGGATTATAATATTAGATCCATTTTCTCTGCCCCCATAGAACAATAGCATTAGACAAACAAGCCAAGCACTCAAAATAATCATCAACCGTATATGATTCAAAATACAGTTCCACTTAACAAATATAAAATCACACTATTTTTATTACTTTTTAGGTTTTATCAAAAAGGAATATCACTTCATCATACTCCTCTATGCAGTCTCTTCAATACTAGTTTACTGCTTTTTGTTACAAAGTTGTGGGGTTTGATTCAATTAGCTTATGTGTTCTAATTGTGAATTCAACAATATAATTCAACAATCTAAGCAGAAAGCTCATCAACCAACAAAAACATACTGTAAAACCTACTTTTTGTCGGACACCAAGAAAAAAATTGACCCCTTCCTAAGCATGAAACATGAATGAATTTTTCTAAATATGTACAGAATAATCATATGCAAACATGAAAAGAATTCACAAGCCCAACCAATCAATCACCCCAATTCAGTTAAAAATACCCCGTCCCCATTTAACTATTTTAACTGTTTAGTATACTTTCACCAAATTAAATTACGCACAGCACAAAAATAGCCAAAAATAAATAACATTAAAAGAACAAAGATATATGAGCCATTCTTCAACATTAAGCATGAGGTGGATGCTTTATTCAATGATTAATAAAAGAAATTCTTGATCTTTAATCGACTCATAAAGTACAAACTGAAACATAACAGTATAGAGAATTGCTTCAAGAGAATACATATCAAGAAAAGAACATGGGTCTGTCAATTTAACATTTTCATGAAAACCCAAATCATCAATTGCCCCAAATAAGCCATCAAAGCTTCAGAATTCGTAAAAACGAATTAGATCTTCGAGACAATCTATGCAAAAAGTAGATAGTAAGAAACAAAAGTTGTAGATACTGGATTACTAGAAATAAATGTTACCTTTGAAAATAATGAAGATTCGGAGATGAGAGGGCGGCGGCGATACGAAGAGATTGAGAAAAGTTTTAGTAGCGTTTACTCCAAAGAAGAAAAGCCAATCTGAAGCGAATATTAGGGTGTGTTATTATTTAATGGATAGCGGCAAGGGTGCTCACTGTGTTCTTGTCGGGGCAACCCGACTTCTAATGACCTCAATGAAAATATTTGAGTCAGTTATTGTTGTTCGATTATACATAGAAGTTTTTCACGCAAAATGCCTTAAAACCCCCTAAATTTATTGCGAATTATTAATTTTCTCTCCGAACTATCTCAGGTTCGTATTACCTCCAACACTAGGATAAATAAATTTAAAAAAAGCCCCAAGCTGCCACATGGCACAGGAAGTGATCTCAAATAGTCTTTGGCGCGTGAGGGTGGATAAAAAGGGGCATCTAATCAGCTATAACGGGAAAAAAGTCTCATAATCAACATTTTCCTTTTATTTTCATATTCGAAATGGCTATTCTCTTATTTCTTCCTCTTTATAAGGTCCTCCATTGAAGCTTAACAATTGCTCTTTCTTTTTGTATAATTTTGGATTTTCTTCTTTAATTGTTGAAGTCCTTAGTGATATTCTTGGTTTCCTTTCTAGTTTTCTCCAAGACAATGAAGATGAACACACTTTGTAAATGTGGGTATTCGTCACATTTGAAAATCTCATGGTCAAATGACAATCTAGGAAGAAGATTTTTTGGTTGTAAAAGATATAAGGTATGATAAAGCAATGTTTAGAAGGTTTAAATTGATTATCATTTTTGTTGGGTTTGTTCTAGATTTTTTCATTAAAAAAAATGATAGTTGTGCTTTTTGTACAGGTTTACGGTCGTAAGGCTTGTAATTTTTTTGAGTAGTACGAATCGGAATTTCAAAAACAATCTAATGTTGTTATTTTTTTAACGACCCGACCAGTTATTTAGAGTGTTGTAGCCTCGTTCCTCCATTGACTCCTTATTCTATGCTAAATTATTGATATGGGACTTATAGGGATAGTTGGTTTGGTTCCGGGGATGTTTCAGAATGAGTTGAGACGCTTAGTCCAAGGTTGGAAGCTTAAGTTGAAAAGGTTAACCGGATATTGACTTATATATAAATGGCTCCGGAATAGAGTTTTGATGGTTCCGGTAACTCCGTATGGTGAATTCAGACTCAGAAATGTGTCCGGATATTGATTTGGAGGTTCGTAGGTAACGTTGGCTTGAAATGGCGAAAGTTGGAAAATTTGAAGTTTGGAAAGTTGAAAATTTTGACCGAGAGTTTTGTGATTACCAGGTTCAGATTTTTTATTCCGAAAGTTGAAATAGGTCTATTGTGGCAATTATGACTTGTGTGCAAAATTGAGGTTAATCGGAGTTGATTTGATAGTTTTGGCATCGATTGTAGAAGTTGAAATTTCTTAGTTTTTGTTAGGCTTGAATTGGGGTACAATTCATGTTTTTGACGTTGTTTGATGTGATTTGAGGCCTCGACTAAGTTCGTATCGTATTTTGGGACTTGTTGGTATAATTGGTTGAGGTCCCGAGGGCCTCGGGTGGATTTCGGATGGTTAGCGGATCGAATTTTGAACTTAAGAAATGGCTAATGAGTTCTGGACTGGTGTGATCGCATCTGCGAAGGTCTTGGTCGCAGGTGCGAGCCGCAGGTGTGTGGATAACATTGCAGAAGCGGATTTGGGTGAGTTGGGGGAGTTGCGCAGGTTCGAGGGAATTTCCGCACCTGCGAATTCGCAAATGCAGAGGGAGGATCGCAAAAGCGAGAAGGGGCTGGTATGGCAGGTCCGCAGAAGCGAAAGTTTCTCGCAGGTGCGGACCTTGTGGACTTAAGTGACTTCCGCATAAGCGGGATTTTTATCGCATAAGCAATTTCGCAGGTGCGGAGTTCTGGCCCGCAGGTGCGGAAGCACTGGGCAGAATATAGGTCGAAGGGTTCCGAGGTTTTATCATTTTTGGACTTTGCAAGCTCGGATTAAGGCGATTTTTGAGAGAGGTTTCAATTGATTTCTTGAGGTAAGTCACTTTTGATCATTTTTATGCAATAATATTGATTACCCATTGAATTTCTCACCTAGTTTGTGTGTTTTTAAGGTGGAATTTTAGGAGTTTTGGGCTAGGGATTAGAGAATAAAATTTGGGTATTTGAGTGATGATTCGGTGTCGGAATTTGATAAATTTAGTATGGTTGGACTCGTTTTTGAAGGGTTATTCGGATTTTATAACTTTTATTGGATTCTGAGATATGGGCCCGGGGTTGACTTTTTGACTTTTGATTAAGAACTTAGCATTTTCATATGGAATTGGTTCCTACAGCTTGAGTTGATTGTATCAAATTGTTTGTGGCTAGATTCGAGGCGTTCGGAGGACGATTCACGTGGAAAGGGCTTATTGGAGTAGAGATCGCATGGTTTGAGGTAAGTAACACTTCTAAACTTGGTTCGGTGGGTATGAATCCCTGAAAATTCGTGTTATGTGATTGGTGTTGAGGTGACGCGCATGCTAGGTGGCGGGCGTGCACTTTAGTAATTGTGATTCAGTCGATTCCATAAAACTGTGTAGTTATCTTATTTGAATATTATTACTACTCTATGTATTATAACACTTGAGCTGTGATTTATGTTAGAAATCATATTTACTCTATGTGATGGTGCTATTGGGACCCATAGTGGTCGTTCTTTGGTGTCGAGTTATTTGCTTAATTGCAGTTATGTACTCAGTCGCATTCATTATTGCATATCATATCTCAGTCTATGTTACTATATATTATCACGTCATGTATCATTGATTTGGGCTACTTGGCATGAGTGTTGTGAGCTCAAGAGACCGGAGAGATTGATGACTGAGTGAGGTCGAGGGCCTGTTTGTGAGTGATATTGATGGGATCGGGTTACACACTGCATCGGGTACTATTGACTTATGATGGAATCGGATTGCACGCCGCAGCAGGCATTATTGACTCATGATGGGATCGGGTTGCACGCTGTAGCAGGATTTATTAGCGCTTGGGCAGGATCCGCCCCTCCGGAGTCTGACATACCAGCAGTGAGCGCAGGTTCTATTGATTCGTGATGGGATCAGGCTACATGCCGCAGCGGGTACAATACAGTGCTGAGTGATTGAGTGTGATGAGTGAGAATTGAGACAGTCAAGATTGAGTATTCTGAGAGTGTGAGTATGCGAGGCGTTCATCATGTTGCATCACATACAATATGCATATTGTCATGTAGATATAGAGATGTCTTATTCCTCATATCATTCAGACTTGGCATATTTTATCTGTGTTGAGCTTAACTGTTAAACCTGGAAACATGTCTAAATTCTTATACTGGTACCTGCAGATTGAGCTTCTCTGAGATACTATTGTCATATTTTCTATCATTTCTGTATCGTTTAATCCTGTGTTTGGACTGTATTGTTCGAGCTCGTCACTGCTTTTAGCCCAAAGGTTAGACTTATTACTTATTGAATTGGTTGTACTCACACTAAACTCTACACTTCATGTGCAAATCTAGGTATTTTCGAGTACGGTGGTTCTTGATTTCTGGAGCTTCATCAGTCGGAGATTATCGAGGCAACTGCCTTGGCGTCTGCAGACCTTGACTCTCCTCCTTTATCTTTTAGTTTGTTTATATTGTTCTACTTTCCTAGACAGTGTTTCAGTTGTCAGACTGTGTTATTGTATAGATGCTCATGTACTTCGTGACACCCAGATTTTGGGGAAATTTTGTATTGAGTTGCTATGTTTCATCCAATTTTTATGAGATTTTATTTACTTAAAACCTATTTCAGTATATTTTGAATTAAGGATGTCTGTATTTGTGAGTTGTCAACTTGCCTAATATCGCGATATGCGTCATCGCGACACTTGAGATTTGGGGTCGTGCCAATTTTGGGTTTGTTGAAGAAGAGAAATGCACAATAACAAGAGTTGAAGCGGAGAAGAAACCAAAGATTTCTATGTAAATCGAAGTGAAATTGGGAGAGGCACTTGAGAGATTTTTTGATAGAGTTTTGCTAGAGAAAGAGAAAGGTTCAGAGAAAAATGAAATCTTTATGTTTTGTTTCTAACGTTTTGCCTTTTACCCTTTCTTTATTTTTTTCTCTTTTTTTTCTTTAGTAATTAGTATAAAAATTTAATATCATTTTATTTAGCCTATGTAGAGTAGACAAATTGTCCAAATGTATCGCGCGTGCATACACTTAACTAGGTGTATGAGACTCGCGGGAGGGGGGGTTATATTTACTTATCCTAGTATGGGGGGGGGGGGGGTAGATAATTCGAATCCGATATAATTTAAGAAGGAAACTAATAATTCGCGACAAGTTTAGGAGGGGTTTTTCATTAAAAAGGGAACAATAACTTTTTAAATTTATGAAATTATTTTCTTTTTAAAAATCTTAATTTTAATTTCATATTATTTATACTTAGGCATAATTATTAATCTTAACCACACAAAAAATTAATCATACACTCTCCGGTTTGACTATTATTATTTTTAGTGCCTATTTTGTAAAAATAAAATACTTTCGGAACAAATCAAACATAAGGAAGAAAAAAAATCTCGATGGAAATGCATTTTTTTTTTCTGGAGAAAAAAGGAAATGGAATCTTTTATACCCAAGATTCTTCTAATGGTATGTTTGAAATTACTAACCGTTAAACCTTAAAAAATGTATTGTATCCAATATGATGCACAGACATGATAAATAAGGAAAGTAGACGCCTAACAGAAAAAAATTCTAAAAGCATGTTTGGAAAGTCACCTAGGAATTAGATTTGGGTATAATTGAGTATAATTATACAGTTTGACATGTTTGTCTTGGTCAGCATGGAATTGGGTGTAATTGGAGAGGTGTAATTACACTCTCCAATTCTCAAGGAGGTATGAATTGGTGGTAATTAAATTGTGTAATTAGAAGGTTACTTTTTAATTTCTTTCCTTTCTATTTTTATTTATATTTATTTTCTTTATAATTTTCTTTATTTTTATTTCTTTTTTTTATTTTTACTTTTTAGTTAAAATATTTTTTTTTGTACATTATTATCATTTATTTCTCTACCTTTACTTCTTATGATTCCATGTAATTGCTCGTTTTTTTTTCTTATTTATTTTATTTTGCATAACTACGTTATTATTCTAGTTTTTGAAACTACACCTCCTAATATTAGAAATGTTGAGTCATTAACAAACAGGGCATATAAGAGTGATGTCATCAAGGTAGAATTTCGTTGTTAAATGAGGTTATAAACTTATTATGTTTCCTAATATTAAGTTGTATTGGAACTTATTTTTATTATGTTAGAATTTAACATAGGTTAAAGTATTTTTTTATGGGACTTTAAAATTGTGTTATATTTATGGTTCTAATTTACTTATTTTAGTAGTGGCGTGTTATTTGACATTATATATTGTTCATTTTTTAGTTAGAATTGATAGATTAGTTTTGTCAAACATTTGCATAGTGTTATAATATTATATTTATAAGCATTAATTTATTATATCAAACATGCATTCAATGACAAGAAAAAAATATGCATCTTAAACACCAAATCTATTATCATTTATACTTATAAAAAATTATTTATAGGTACATATTTATTATCTTAACTTTTAATTTTTGATAATTACTTCATTTAAAATTTAATCTAACTGTGTAATTACACTTGTACAACCAAACATCACGCTTGTGATTATATTGTAATTACGTTATGACAAACAAACATGTTATTATAATTACTAGGCTGTGTAATTACTACCCTAGTAATTACACCAATTTCAATTACCAAATGACTTTCCAAACAAACACTAAAAGTGGTTGAAACTTGACAAGACGAAATATGATTTTTTTGAAAGAAAGTGATTCTTAAAACACTTTTTATTTGGTGGATGTCACCGGAGGAAGTTAGATCCTAAAACTAGCAAGCCTAAAGTGTTAAATTCAAAGAAGAAAATTAGCTTAAATAGCAGCTTACTCAATTGCTTAAATTAAAAATAGCCGGCAAATGTATAATATATGTATAACCCTATAAATAATATATAATTTCTATATACTAGCTAGAAAAAGTAAACCGTATAACCGATCGTCTATTTATATAAAGATCCAAAGAATGTCCTTTCATTAACTTTTACTTTCATCCTCTTCCGGGAAGTGTTTTCACTAATTCAATTTTGTGCAAATCAACTAAAGCACTCGATACTGAAATGTTCTATATATATATTCTCATAACTCAAATCCGAGAAATTTTCACTTCCTTGGCTATTGACTGATACTCGGGCAGAGCTAGGTGGCAGAAAGGGTTCAACCGAACCCCATTCGCCGAGGGCACTTGTGGGAACCATTCGGGGGCAGAATCCTTAGTTCGAAAGCTAATCACAGCCGGCCACTACTGGAATGAAATGGATAAGTCTGCGAAAGACTTCGTACAAAAATGCGACGAGTGCCAAAGACACGCCCCGATGATCCATCAACCGGGAGCGATGCTCTACCCAATCTTGTCTCCATGACCATTTATGAAGGAGGAATTGACATCGTCTGTCCCCTACCGGGCACCCGGTAAGGTTTAATTCATACTATTCATGATCGATTATTTTTCCAAATGGGACGAGGCTCAAGCGTTCGAGAAGTTCCAAGAAAAAGAAGTCACTGACTTCATCTGGGATCACATAATATGTCGATTAGGGATACCAACCAAGTTCGTTTGCGACAACAGGAAATAATTCGTCGGCAATAAGGTGAGTAAGTTTTTTGAAGATCACAAGATCAAGAAGATACTATCAATGCCTTATCACTCTACTGGGAATGGGCAGGCGAAATTAACGAACAAAACTATACTCCAAAACCTAAAAAAGAGGTTGACCGATTCGAAAGGAAATCTTGCCCGAAGTCCTGTAGGCATACCGTACAACTTCAAAATCGAGCACCGGGGCCACCCCATTTTCTCTGGTATACGGAGCCGAAGCCTTAATACTAGTGGAGGTGGGGGAACCAAGCCTTAAATTCTAGTATGCTATCGAAGAGTCGAACGGCGAGGCCATCATCACGAACCTGGAACTGTTAGACGAAAGGAAGGAGGCCGCCATGGTCCGGTTTATCGCCAAGAAGCAGCGAGTAGGGAGGTACTACAACCGAAGAGCCAACCTCCGACACTTTCAAGTCGGCAACTTGGTATTGAGAATGATAACACTACACACTAGGAACCCAAACGAAGGGAAACTGAGCCCGAATTGGAAAATACCATATCGGATTATCGGAATAACCGACAAAGGCTCATATAAACTCGAAGCAGAAAATAGTGTGCAACTACCAAACAACCGGAACATGGCACACTTAAAGTGATACTACTGCTAAGGTACAAACTTAATTCCTTTTTAATTTTGTCCTGAAGTGGGGTTTTCGGCAAGTTTTTAACAAGGCAACAGTAAAACATGCTACCTTAGATTTGAATACCGGCTTTAAACTAGAATTGATGATTTGTTTGCATCAGATCAACAGTATCCGAACCCTTACAAGTTCGGCCTCAAATACTAGGGTCCATTATCCCTAGATTAAGATCTTTAACAAGGGAAAAGAAAATTTTATGTGTCAAAGGCTAAGGATTGGTGGTTAGGATTCATTGTAAGAGTCAAACGGCCATGCGAACCGTGCCCACATAATCCATTCTAGCCACGTCACAGGGTCTATGCGTCTCCGGTCATGTACCTTGCATATTAAGCAATGAAAGAAATTTCTACTCCCCTAACACTTATTACTGCACCTTTTACTCCTTCGATCCTAGATCCTAAAGACCATGGGCTACCCTTACTTGGGGACTGTTAATCGATAAAAAATCGGACAACCCGGGCTACCAAATTCCGAAGGCACCAAGCCTACTAGGCACTTACCGAGTATGAAAGGCTACGGCCACCCTAAAACAGGCTCGGAGACGTCCGAAGTCCATACTCAAAAAGTAAGGCCCTTATGTAAAATCGAAACATATTAAGAGATTACCCTCGGCAAAAACATCATGTGAGACACTTAAGCATCTTAAAAGCCTTCAATTCTATCGAAATCTCGAAGCCACGGTAACCCGGAGTTGCCATCAAAATCGGGCCTCATTCAGACCTTCGAAAAATGGGTGCTCTAGACTACATTTGATTTTATGCTAAGGCATTAAAATCGATACGCAAATAAAAAACTGCAAATAGATGCTGGAATGTAAAGATACGATATTGTCAAAAAGGGAAAACTTTATATACTTAAAAAAACATTTACAAAGTCACGACAAAACGACCTCAAATAAACAAAAAAGAAAATATAGAAGGGAAAACTAAAAAAGAAGTAAGGCATTTACGCATTGTCTTCACCAGGGCTCGACTCATCACCAGAACCATCGGAACCCTCGGAACTCTTGGAGCTTTTGGTACTCTTCGGCTCTCAAAGTTCCTTTGCCTCGGCGTCGAGTATCTTGGCTTCTTCGATCTTGGCTAACAAGTCAAAACCTCGGGCATGGATCTCCTCGAGGGTCTCTCTTCGGGAAAGCCACTTTACATACTCAGTATTTGTCTTTAAGTGGGCCTTGGCTACCTCTACATAGGCCTTATACTGGGCCAACATTTCCTCGGCGTAAGAGGAATCAACAGAAGTTTCCTCCAACTTAGACCTCAGCACATTATATTCTTGGCCGAGGGCATCACATTCCGTGA